TATTGTAAGAATCAATTTGAATATAAAGCTGAACTTGGTAAAATCTGTCAATTAAATGAAGAGAAATATTACAATAAATTAATGGAATATAGTCTTCAAAAGATGATGCCTTATCCATATCATTTAATTGGTATTGGATTCTTTAATTCAATAAACCATTCTGATAAACTTAATCCACCAAAATATTATGCTCAATTAATTAAAAAATTGTTAAATGAAGGACTTCCATTTGATAGATTGCCAGCATTTACTGCTCGTGATGTTTTTAGATTTCTTGGAGTTTCAAGGAATCAATTTACTGAAATAGCAAATAGATTTAAATCAGAAAAAAGAAAAGTTTGTTTTATTATATTTAGTTTTAAAAGGAATTAAGACAAATAAAGAATAATTAATCATTAGTTATTATCAAGAAAGTTTCCACTTAATTTTGAAGTAAAACAACCAAGTTTTGTTATTTCTTTTAAGATTAGAAGAGAGTGATTATTTGAAATAAACTAATTAAAATAGATTGTCAACCATGGTGGATAATAAGAACATATTCAAATAATAATGAAGGAAAATTAACTTTTAATGAAAAATTTGTAAAAGATTGTTTAGACAAAGAAATATATTTATCAAATGTATTTATTATTATTCGAATTGAAGAAAAAGATTCATTTATACCAATTATTCATGACAACATTATTATTACAAGAACAACAAAAATGGAATATATTTATTATCGTATTTTATTAATTATAGATGATAGACTTACTGTTAAAGATCTTGTATCAATTCTTATTGATCCAAATGATCGTTTAATGTTACAAAAGAAAGGAGAAATAATGAAAGCAATATCTTATTTGGTTCGTCTTAATAGATTAAATAAAGTTGAAATTAGAGATATTCAATATAATGGAATAACACCACCAACACCTCGACTAAATCAACAAATAAAGAAAAGAGTTTGTTTTATTGTAGATGAAGCAGTAGTTTCTACTTTAATGACTGGAATTACTAAAACAGATGATATCAAAAGAATTGTAGTTCATCTTTTTGAAACAGGAAGACTTACTAATGATCAAGTATATGCACTTATATGTCTTATTGAACTTCTCAAAACACAACCATGTGCAAAAGATTCAAGAGCACACTATAAAAAGTTTTTTAATGTTGGTAATTCATTAGTAAATGTAATAAAATCATTACAACAATTAATCTGTAATGAAGAAATATTTGGATTATGTGATGGAATTGAAATTGTAAAAATGGAATGTTTAAAATATTTAACTGAAAAAGAAAAAGAAAGTTATAGAAAGAAATATACAAGTGCATTAATTGGTTCTAATAGTAAAATTATATCATGTCAACATTCTCCATTTTCACCTCAATTAATACCACATTCTGTATTGTCTAGTTATTTATTTACAATATTTTTAAATTATAGTTATAATAGTGGAAGTTCTACGTTAATTCTTCCTAAAGGATCATTTCTTCAATCTCTTCCAAACCAATTTAATCAATTTAATTTCATTCTTTCAACTACTTTTACACATCGTCAAGACATTGTTTCTAATTCAAATGCATTACTTTTTATAAATGAAACATTAAAATCAGAACCAATTATTATTCGTGGTTTACAATTTAATAAACCTCATTATGAAAATGTTATTTTCCCAATTGAATTCTCTCAAAGTCCATTAAAACAACATCCTGTTATTCAAAAATTATCAACTGAACTCACATTATCAAAGTTTATTGGTAAAATTGTTTTAATTAACACAACAGAAAATGATTTTGATCTTAATAAATTTGATAATTGGGAATTCTTCGATATTATTTTTGGTATTCCAATGGATTGTTATGATGAAAACCAACAATGTGTCAACGCATTACCATCACTTTTAATTGAAAAGAGTAAAGAAGAAATGTGGAATGCTTCATCTGATATTATTCAAGCATTCTTTCAATTTCTTTCTAAATATGGATTTGATTATAATTCATTGAACAACCAATGTATTTTGAAAGAAGATATGTTGTTGTATCCTTCTCAACCTATTCTTTTTGAAAAACAATTAATTAAATAATTTATTATTTATTCTTCTTTGTAAGAGAGAGAGACATTCAGTTAGTTATTTCAAATAATGAATAGAACTTAACAATAAATTAATGAAACAAATTGTCAACAAACAAACAATGATTTGATTAAGATGAATTGTTAAATAAAGAAACAAGAAAAAAGAAGTTAAAATGATGATGAATCATAAAAATATAGTCAGACATCCTAACATCACCTCTTAAATCTTTCTTCTGAAATTTCTTTCATTAGATTAATTCAAGTTGTTCATTGTACACTTGTTTCCAAATGTTTGTCTCCCGTTGGTGTTGTTGGTTATTCATTCTTCATCCTATTGTCTTGTTGTTAATTTTAAGACGGATAATGGATTGACTGTACTATAGAAATGATCCTAAGAGTACGGTCTACTTTTTATTTTTCTTTCTCCTTCTCTTTATTCTCTCTTTATTCATTTCTTAATTATGACTTATTTTTAGGGTTTTTACTATATTTCTAATTTATTTTAAACTATTATTATTTTCTTTGATTATAATATCTCTTATCACTTTGTCCATCTTTATCAATTCCTTTATGAATCATATTTGATTATAAAATGAACGGTAGTTGTATGTTAGTTGATGAAAGTACA